CTAAAGAAGAAAATCTTCCTAAAGAAAATCTTCCTAAAGAAAATCTTCCTAAAGAAGAAAATCTTCCTAAAGAAAATCTTCCTAAAGAAAATCTTCCTAAAGAAAATCTTCCTAAAGAAGAAAATCTTCCTAAAGAAAATTTTCCTAAAGAAAATCTTCCTAAAGAAAATCTTCCTAAAGAAAATCTTAGAAAATCTTCCTAAAGAAAATCTTCCTAAAGAAAATCTTCCTAAAAAAATCTTTCTAAAGAAAATCTTCCTAAAGAAAATCTTAGAAAATCTTCCTAAAGAAAATCTTCCTAAAGTAGAAAATCTTTCTACAGAAATGATTTACTCCTTTCTACAGAATGATTTACTCCTTCAAAATACACTATCCTCACTTCGTGAGTTACAAATTAAACATAGAAAAAGAGAAAGATCAAACCAGGAAGATTTTCTTTAGGAAGATTTTCTTCTTCTGAGTCATGATCTACTTGATTGGGCAGACAAACGTCATAACTTCTAGATATGGGTATAGCCATCCCTAAAGAAAATCTTCCTAAAGAAGATCGTCTTCAAGAAGATCATCTTCAAGAAGATCTTCTTCAAGAAGATCATCTTCAAGAAGATCATCTTCGAGAAGATCATCTTCCTGAAGATCATCTTCAAGAAGATCATCTTCATGAAGATCATCTTCGTAAAGATCATCTTCCTAAAGATCATCTTCCTAAAGATCATCTTCCTAAAGATCATCTTCCTAAAGATAATCTTCCTAAAGAAAATCTTCCTAAAGAAAATCTTCCTAAAGAAAATCTTCCTAAAGAAAATCTTCCTGAAGAAAATTTTCCTAAAGAAAATCTTCCTAAAGAAAATTTTCCTAAAGAAAATCTTCCTAAAGAAAATCTTCCTAAAGAAAATCTTCCTAAAGAAAATCTTCCTAAAGAAAATCTTCCTAAAGAAAATCTTCCTAAAGAAAATCTTCCTAAAGAAAATCTTCCTAAAGAAAATTTTCCTAAAGAAAATCTTCCTAAAGAAAATCTTCCTAAAGAAGAAAATCTTCCTAAAGAAAATCTTCCTAAAGAAAATTTTCCTAAAGAAAATCTTCCTAAAGAAAATCTTCCTAAAAAAAATCTTCCTAAAGAAAATCTTCCTAAAGAAAATCTTCCTAAAGAAAATCTTCCTAAAGAAAATCTTCCTAAAGAAAATCTTCCTAAAGAAAATCTTCCTAAAGAAAATCTTCCTAAAGAAAATCTTCCTAAAGAAAATCTTCCTAAAGAAAATCTTCCTAAAGAAAATCTTCCTAAAGAAAATCTTCCTAAAGAAAATCTTCCTAAAGAAAATCTTGCCTAAAAAAAATCTTCCTAAAGAAAATCTTCCTAAAGAAAATCTTGCTGAAGAAGATCTTGCTAAAGAAAATCTTGCTAAAGAAAATCTTGCTGAAGAAAATCTTGCTGATGAAAATCTTCCTAAAGAAAATCTTCCTGAAGAAAATCTTCCTAAAGAAAATCTTCCTAAAGAAAATCTTCCTAAAGAAAATCTTCCTAAAGAAAATCTTCCTAAAGAAAATCTTCCTAAAGAAAATTTTCCTAAAGAAAATCTTCCTAAAGAAAATTTTCCTAAAGAAAATCTTCCTAAAGAAAATTTTCCTAAAGAAAATCTTCCTAAAGAAAATCTTCCTAAAGAAAATCTTCCTAAAGAAAATCTTCCTAAAGAAGAAAATCTTCCTAAAGAAAATTTTCCTAAAGAAAATCTTCCTAAAGAAAATCTTCCTAAAGAAAATCTTCCTAAAGAAAATTTTCCTAAAGAAAATCTTCCTAAAGAAAATTTTCCTAAAGAAAATCTTCCTAAAGAAAATCTTCCTAAAGAAAATTTTCCTAAAGAAAATCTTCCTAAAGAAAATTTTCCTAAAGAAAATCTTCCTAAAGAAAATCTTCCTAAAGAAAATCTTCCTAAAGAAAATCTTCCTAAAGAAAATCTTCCTAAAGAAAATCTTCCTAAAGAAAATCTTCCTAAAGAAAATTTTCCTAATGAAAATCTTCCTAATGAAAATCTTCCTAATGAAAATCTTCCTAATGAAAATCTTCCTAATGAAAATCTTCCTAATGAAAATGATCCTAATGAAAATCATCCTAATGAAGAAAATCTTCCTAAAGAAAATTTTCCTAAAGAAAATCTTCCTAAAGAAAATCTTCCTAAAGAAAATTTTCCTAAAGAAAATCTTCCTAAAGAAAATCTTAGAAAATCTTCCTAAAGAAAATCTTCCTAAAGAAAATCTTCCTAAAGAAAATCTTCCTAAAGAAAATCTTCCTAAAGAAAATCTTCCTAAAGAAAATCTTCCTAAAGAAAATTTTCCTAAAGAAAATCTTCCTAAAGAAAATCTTCCTAAAGAAAATTTTCCTAAAGAAAATCTTCCTAAAGAAAATCTTCCTAAAGAAAATCTTCCTAAAGAAAATCTTCCTAAAGAAAATCTTCCTAAAGAAAATCTTCCTAAAGAAAATCTTCCTCATGAAAATCTTCCTAATGAAAATATTCCTCATGAAAATCTTCCTCATGAAAATCTTCCTCATGAAAATCTTCCTCATGAAAATCTTCCTCATGATAATCTTCCTGATGATAATCTTCCTAAAGAAAATTTTCCTACTGAAGATCTTCCTGAAGAAAATCTTCCTGATGAAAATCTTCCTGATGAAAATCTTCCTCCTGAAGATCTTCCTCCTGAAGATCTTCCTACTGAAAATATTCCTCCTGAAAATCATCCTCCTGAAGATCATCCTCCTAAAGAAAATCTTCCTAAGAAAATCTTCCTAAAGAAGAAAATCTTCCTAAAGAAGAAAATCTTCCTAAAGAAGAAAATCTTCCTAAAGAAGAAAATCTTCCTAAAGAAGAAAATCTTCCTAAAGAAGAAAATCTTCCTAAAGAAGAAAATCTTCCTAAAGAAGAAAATCTTCCTAAAGAAGAAAATCTTCCTAAAGAAGAAGATCTTCCTAAAGAAGAAAATCTTCTTAAAGAAGAGAATCTTCTTAAAGAAGAAAATCTTCTTAAAGAAAATCTTATATATGGGTAGAGCCATCCTTAAAGAAAATCTTCCTAAAGAAGAAAATCTTCCTAAAGAAAATCTTCGTAAAGAAAATCTTCGTAAAGAAAATCTTAGAAAATCTTCCTAAAGAAAATCTTCATAAAGAAAATCTTCCTAAAGAAAATCTTCCTAAAGAAAATCTTCCTAAAGAAAATCTTCCTAAAGAAGAAAATCTTCCTAAAGAAGAAAATCTTCCTAAAGAAGAAAATCTTCCTAAAGAAGAAAATCTTCCTAAAGAAGAAAATCTTCCTAAAGAAGAAAATCTTCCTAAAGAAAATCTTCCTAAAGAAAATCTTCCTAAAGAAAATCTTCCTAAAGAAAATCTTCCTAAAGAAAATTTTCCTAAAGAAAATCCTCCTAAAGAAGAAAATCTTCCTAAAGAAAATCTTCCTAAAGAAGAAAATTTTCCTAAAGAAAATCTTCCTAAAGAAGAAAATCTTCCTAAAGAAAATCTTCCTAAAGAAAATCTTCCTAAAGAAAATCTTCCTAAAGAAAATCTTCCTAAAGAAAATCTTCCTAAAGAAAATCTTCCTAAAGAAAATCTTCCTAAAGAAGAAAATCTTCGGAAAGAAGAAAATCTTCCTAAAGAAGAAAATCTTCCTAAAGAAGAAAATCTTCCTAAAGAAGAAAATCTTCCTAAAGAAGAAAATCTTCCTAAAGAAAATCTTCCTAAAGAAAATCTTCCTAAAGAAGAAAATCTTCCTAAAGAAAATCTTCCTAAAGAAAATCTTCCTAAAGAAGAAAATCTTCCTAAAGAAGAAAATCTTCCTAAAGAAAATCTTCCTAAAGAAGAAAATCTTCCTAAAGAAAATCTTCCTAAAGAAAATTTTCCTAAAGAAAATCTTCCTAAAGAAAATCTTCCTAAAGAAGAAAATTTTCCTAAAGAAAATCTTCCTAAAGAAGAAAATCTTCCTAAAGAAGAAAATTTTCCTAAAGAAAATCTTCCTAAAGAAAATCTTCCTAAAGAAAATCTTCCTAAAGAAAATCTTCCTAAAGAAAATCTTCCTAAAGAAAATCTTCCTAAAGAAAATCTTCCTAAAGAAAATCTTCCTAAAGAAAATCTTCCTAAAGAAAATCTTCCTAAAGAAAATCTTCCTAAAGAAAATCTTCCTAAAGAAAATCTTCCTAAAGAAAAATCTTCCTAAAGAAAATCTTCCTAAAGAAAATCTTCCTAAAGAAAATCTTCCTAAAGAAAATCTTCCTAAAGAAAATCTTCCTAAAGAAAATCTTCCTAAAGAAAATCTTCCTAAAGAAAATCTTCCTAAAGAAAATCTTCCTAAAGAAGAAAATCTTCCTAAAGAAAATCTTCCTAAAGAAAATCTTCCTAAAGAAAATCTTCCTAAAGAAAATCTTCCTAAAGAAAATTTTCCTAAAGAAAATCTTCCTAAAGAAAATCTTCCTAAAGAAAATCTTCCTAAAGAAAATCTTCCTAAAGAAAATCTTCCTAAAGAAAATCTTCCTAAAGAAAATCTTCCTAAAGAAAATCTTCCTAAAGAAAATCTTCCTAAAGAAGAAAATCTTCCTAAAGAAAATCTTCCTAAAGAAAATCTTCCTAAAGAAAATCTTCCTAAAGAAAATCTTCCTAAAGAAAATCTTCCTAAAGAAAATCTTCCTAAAGAAAATCTTCCTAAAGAAAATCTTCCTAAAGAAAATCTTCCTAAAGAAAAGAAAATTTTCCTAAAGAAAATCTTCCTAAAAGAAAATCTTCCTAAAGAAAATCTTCCTAAAGAAAATCTTCCTAAAGAAAATCTTCCTAAAGAAAATCTTCCTAAAGAAAATCTTCCTAAAGAAAATCTTCCTAAAGAAAATCTTCCTAAAGAAGAAAATCTTCCTAAAGAAAATCTTCTTCCTAAAGAAAATCTTCCTAAAGAAAATCTTCCTAAAGAAAATCTTCCTAAAGAAAATCTTCCTAAAGAAAATCTTCCTAAAGAAAATCTTCCTAAAGAAAATCTTCCTAAAGAAAATCTTCCTAAAGAAAATCTTCCTAAAGAAAATCTTCCTAAAGAAAATCTTCCTAAAGAAAATCTTCCTAAAGAAGAAAATCTTCCTAAAGAAAATCTTCCTAAAGAAAATCTTCCTAAAGAAAATCTTCCTAAAGAAAATCTTCCTAAAGAAAATCTTCCTAAAGAAAATCTTCCTAAAGAAAATCTTCCTAAAGAAAATCTTCCTAAAGAAAATTTTCCTAAAGAAAATCTTCCTAAAGAAAATCTTCCTAAAGAAAATCTTCCTAAAGAAAATCTTCCTAAAGAAAATCTTCCTAAAGAAAATCTTCCTAAAGAAAATCTTCCTAAAAAAAATCTTCCTAAAGAAGAAAATCTTCCTAAAGAAAATCTTCCTAAAGAAAATCTTCCTAAAGAAAATCTTCCTAAAGAAAATCTTCCTAAAGAAGAAAATCTTCCTAAAGAAAATCTTCCTAAAGAAAATCTTAGAAAATCTTCCTAAAGAAAATCTTCCTAAAAAAATCTTCCTAAAGAAGAAAATCTTCCTAAAGAAGAAAATCTTCCTAAAGAAGAAAATCTTCCTAAAGAAGAAAATCTTCCTAAAGAAGAAAATCTTCCTAAAGAAGAAAATCTTCCTAAAGAAGAAAATCTTCCTAAAGAAGAAAATCTTCCTAAAGAAGAAAATCTTCCTAAAGAAGA